CAGTTCTGAACGCTATGTGGTTACTTCCTTCACTGTTCCTGACATTATTTTGGAAGGTGCTGGGGCATTGAATCTTACTATTTATTCTGCTGTTTTATTCAGTGAGCTGTCAGTTCATTTTGTTCTCAACCAATTAAAAATTTTCAACCAGAGCATAGGACTTTTGAGAGAGATGTCCTACCATTCTTCCCAAGATTTGTAAATGAGCAGTCCAGTTATTGTTTCCCATGTAATTTTTTTTCTTCAAAATATTACAGATTAACTAATGGGGATGCCAAGCATAATCATCTGTTCAAACCAAGGTTGGTTCTCTTGATGCCAAAGGTCATAGCCACAATAGCAGTCTCTATTTCAGAAACCTTACATTCTATACCACGTTGCCTGGGAGCATGCAATGTGGTCTGTCCTCCATGCATAGGAATACTCCAAAGATGAGAGGCTGTCAGCTGGCAGAAGTAACTACCTGAAGGAGATGACCAAATAGGGTGTTAAAAAAGCTAGCTGATTTGAAGATGTAATGAAAGCTTGTGGGAGGTGGCTATTGATGGGAAAGGCTCTTGGGCGAGGATAAATTGACGTACGACTCAGATTATCCCAATTTTTTATTTATCATGTCCAAAGTTACCTATTCCTTTATTTTAAAATGAAAATGAGGGATGTGTTAGATTGGGGAGTTCACAGGTAACTAGATAGAAGACCCAGAACAGACATTAGGGCACTGTGTGTCCTACTTAGAACCTAGGGTCCCAGGCTCACTGTCTGTTTCTTGCATAGATGTCTTGCTCTTGGATGACACTGATACTGCAGCCAGCATCCCTTATGTAGCAGCCTTTTTTACAATAGAAACTACTATAGTACAGGTACTGAATTACCTGCATAGGTATTATAACTAATTTTTAGGTGAGGAAACAAAGGCTCTGAGGAACAAATAAAGCCACTCTTTGTCCATCGCAGTAAGAGCACAATGCTTCATTCTTTGGTTGCACAGAAAATGTCATATTTTTGACTCTAATATTGATTATTTTCCTGGGTTTTTTTCCCTCAGGAAAAGTAGCTTATCAGTTATGTCCCATCAGCCTAACCCTGGCTCATCTCCTCTCATTAAATGGCAATTTATTGGAGGTAGAGCTCTATAAACAGGGAACAACAGTGTGTTTATCTCTCTGCCTGAAGATAAGAAAAGGGAAAATGCTGCTTCTGGAAGGTGAATTATTTGGCTTAAAATTGAACAGTGTACAACGGTTGGGTCAGTGGCCTGAGGGCATGGATCAGCCAGACCAGGAACTACAGGCTTAATTATTAGCTAATGGTGAGTTAAGGGAACAGTACTTACTTTCTAGCTCCCCAGCCATTTTTTTGGTAAGGGCTGCTTGTTTGTTCACAGTCTTATTCTCCTCATGCTGGGGCCTAGGGGAAGAGCATTAGTGAAAGAATGAAGACAAAGCAGAAAGTGTGTCAGATCTACCCAAGTCTCCACTGTGTCTGATAGAAGTTACTCAGCCTTGTAGGCTTCTAAGGACTAACATAATGTTTATAAAGGCTGTAGCACAGTATCTATCACATAGAAGATGGTGAGTTAGTAGCTTCAATTGTTACTAACATGATGCTAGTCTGATGTGTCATAAGTAGCATTGATTGCAGTGAGGGGTAGAAGGGCCAGAGAGAGGTGGGGTACCAGATGCAAGAGAAGACAGTTCTCTTGAGTTAACCCTCAAAAGTATCTACCCTAGTCCTGTAGACCTTCCACAGGAAGCTTGGATCCTGGACATTTAGGGCTCGCTGGAGGCCCCTAGGAGGTGTGCTGCTGGTGGTATTGATTCATGGAGAGCTGGGAAGCTCCATGAACTTTGCAACATATAGCCATAAATTGGGAGATCAGGACTTCTCTCTGTTAGGTGTGGTAGCTGTGTTATTTCATTTCATCCTTATAATAGTCTCTAGCAGGGGCTGTGCCTGGCTTACTTCACTTGGCAAATCACCCTTCTCCATATCCACCTGGTTCTATTGCAAGTACCTGTGACTGCCTGAGGAATTGGGTTGTGTTGGCACACACACTGAAAATGCCAGGGAAGTAGTGCCCTAGGGCAGCACTCAGCCAGTGAAAATAGGAGTTGGAGGATAGGTACCCCATCTTCCTCAGCCTTCAGGTAGAATAACTGAGGCACATTCTATCAGGGATTCCCTGTTGGATTGAACCTCAGTAGCTGCCAGCAATAGCTACTTTTATTGGCTTCTTTCCCTTGCTACCTGCATCCAACTTCTCTGTTAGCACCAGAACTAGGTAAGAGGCCTTCATTGTTGCGTTCATGCAAGTTCACAGTTAGCACTTGAGTGCATCTGAGAGGATCTTTTAAGATTCTGCATCTTAGGCATCTCACTTGCATCACCGTAATCCTGGCCCTTTCCTGGATCCTTCCAAAATATTTATATTCAAGTTAGGTCTGCTTCTGGGGGATCCAACCTTAAGCAAATATACATTGAAAACAGATTCAGAGAAATGAAGAATTTTGTCAAACAGCTGGTAAATGGGATAGATTTGAACCCAGATCTGTCTGACACCAGAGCTGATACTGTCTGTACTACACTCCTTCAGCCTCCCACTTGAGTCACAAAACTCCATGGAAATTTCAGGTTTGGATGGGCTCATTCTGGCCTGTGAGGCAGGGCAGCTTTGATGCTAAGTTATTAGCGTGTGGGAATTTAGGGGAGGGGATGCCAGGTGATAAATGGATGGGAGGGTTGGTAGGGGAAGGTGGAAGAATATGGTCACCCAAGTGTAAAGACCGATGAAATCATGTGTACCAGGAAGGCAGGAGGAGGTTACTTACTTTCCATTTCAAAAGCCCTGGATTATTGAGGTGGTGGTAGTGCTCTTCAGTTTAACAGAAATTACTTATACCTATTCTGTGTTGGATCTGGAACTGACCTTGAGGTTCCAAAGGTGAGTAAGAAACATCTAGGAGCCCACAGTCCAGAGGATAAGATAAACAAGTATATGATTTAAATAAGATTTGTAAATGCAATGATACTAGCAAATCCAAAATACTAAGGAATCAGTATTCACGCTCCCAGCTGGGATCAGGTCCTATAGGAGCTTGTCAGGGAAGTGCTCCCCACTGTTAACTGATGTCTGAGCTGTAATTCAATAGAGGGAAAATTAGGTGAGAAAGTTGGAGAGGTCAAAGGGAGAGTCATTCCAGACAAATCATGAACAAAGGCAAAACAGCCGCTCAGTGCTTATAGGAGGGGTGCAAGGTACCAGCAGACTATAAAGGATGTGGTGCTATGGTGGGGAGTTTACAGAGGGCCTGTGTGCCTGGCTGCAGGCACTGTGGGTAGAGAGGAGCCACACTCAACAGCAGGCAGGGCCTGGACTCCCAGCTTGGCAGTGGTACCATTTTACCATACTTCTCCCCATTCCGTAGTTTTTCCTGGACTGCTGAAGATAGCCCTAAGGAGCTGAGGGAACCTTGTCACAATTGTCCTTCCCCCGTTGCTCAGTGGCCATCTGGTGTCTGCATGACTACTGCTGGCACCTCCTTTGCCTCTGCTGTAACCAGGGCTGTCCCAGTTTTGTTTTGTTTTATATTGTTTTGTTTTGTTTCAGACCTCAGGTCCAGCCAGCCTCCTCCCTTTACCAATCTTGAACCAGACCTTTATTGGCACTGTGACTAAGCCAGGATACCCACTTCCTGGTGATGGATATAGCACTTCAAGAACAGTCACAAGGTGTCCTGGCATTGCTTCTCAAGGTCATACCCTCACTGTGGCTTAAGAGGTTCAGATGCCGCTGCTTAAATCACAGCTGGGCCTTTTGTATTCAGTTCCATAGTCTTTCCCCCAACTAAACAAAAGTTGAGAGACTAGACTCCTAGGCTAGGCAGGATGCTCTGTTGTAGATAGCAACCACTCTGCCTTCCACAGCACCATCCTTCACTTCCCTGTCTTTTAGCACCTATTGTATGCCTGATTGGTACCCAGGAAACTGCAGCAGGGCTGTTATCTGCCATGTTTCTAGGCCTAATCACGACAGAACTGATATGGGACCCATGGTCCCTGGACTCCACCTGGGTGTCATGTGGAGGCCTTATACCTGGATAATGGTAAGAGTTACTGCTGATGAGATTACTAAAGTTTGAAAGTGCCCGCTAATTTGCCTGAAAGGAAGATGGTTGCAGAGTGCCTGCTCTCCTGCAATGGTTCTGTGGGGGTTTTTTGGTACTGGAGATCGAACTCCGGTCCTTGCACTTGTGGGGCAGGCGGCAGAACCACCGAGCTAAATCCCCGACCCTATTTTGTGCTTTTAAGGGGACTTAATTCAATGGGAAAATAGTTTGTGACCAGTAGCTCTGCAGAAGCCTGACTCCTTTTCTCCATCCAGTAGAGAAGTCCCAGTGTGAATCTGATCTCTGGCATACACCTAAAGGCTGGACTTCTTAGTCTGGCTGTTAACTCCTCTCCCACCATGTAGCCCACCTACATGTATTTTGGGCCCTGGTAATTTGACCCTGTTCTACCAAGGCACCTGTGTGTATGACCCATGACTTTGTACATGCCCTCCTCTGTCAGCATGCTGTTCTTCAAGTTCCTCAACTTTCCTTGCTCACTCTTCTTCACAGTCAGTCCCTTATTACTTCTTGCTCATTAGTACTTCACACATTTTCCAAAGTTGTCTGTTGCACTGCATATTTCCCAAGCTAGGCTCTTCCTGCTTCTTTCCAGGGATGAGCCACCACCTCAAAACTTGGACTTCAAGTGTTTGTAAAATGAACAAAGCCCTCAGCATTGCAAAGGGGATGTTCTGGGATCCTTGACCCAGTTGAAGACTGAATTCTTGTGGTTATCTTGCTTAAGTTTACATCATAGCTCTGCCTACTCCAGGCTCCTTGTAGAGCAGACTTAGTAGGAAGTGCATCCTCATGAATTAGTGGGTGTCTGGTAAGGAGTGGCTGAGGAAGGGGGCGGGGCTTGGGGACATTATAACTCAGGTCACCCCTGAGTTTCTCTTTTGGGTACAGACCAGTGTCACTGTGGTACCTCATATTGAGAGAGAAGAGCTCAGACCTGAAGAGAGTGACTAATGCTGCATCTCCCAGGTAAGTGCTTCCTCTGTCTAGTTCTTGCCTGCTTCATCCCCAGCCCTCTTGTCTTCACCTTTCGTGTTTTGCACACACCAGAGGATATGGAAGCTGAAAGACCAAGCCACTAATCCCAACTTCAGCAGGGATCCCTGGGATACTTTTCAGAAGGAAGGTTCATTCTATGTAGCTGATTCAGCTAAGGGTCACCAAGAAGCCCTTAGTTCAAATTGTGCAAACTCTGGTCTGAGTTCTGGAGATAGAGCAATGAGCTCCCGCAGTAGCTCTTAGCTGGGAGAAACAGACCTCAATACACTGACCTAGAGTTTAAGTGCTGGGGTTGCTTAGGGGAAGCTTCACAGTCTGGCATGTGCTGAATAAATATTGAATGGCTGAAGGGATGCGTGAATGAGTGAGTGAATAATTGAGCTGGCTGGTCCTTGAGTGGAGAGGGCCACCATGTATGTACCTCTTAGCCCTTTCCAAAGGTAATTGCCTCACCTCATTTTATCCTTGAAACAGACTTGACATTATAGAATGAACATTCCACATTCCCATTTGACAGATCTGGAAACTGAGTTATAAGTGATTTGGGGGGAGATTTATCAGAAATTGATTTGGTTCACCAAATAAAAGCTTCTTCCCCTACTTCCAGTTTTACAGACTATATTAGCACATACTTATGCCCAACCCCATACTGGCATCAAAGATGCAGAAGTGAGTCAGACATTACAGAGTTAGTGAGGAGAGCCTTTCAGACTTGGGAACAATTTGGGCGAAGGCTAGAAAGCAGAAGATGGAGTTTGTAATCAATGTGGTTGGAGTTTAGAGGAAAGTACCCAGAGGAAGCTTACATCAAGTACATTGTAAGGGGCTTGCAATGCTGCTATAGAGTCCTAGACTTTTCTTTCCGCAGTGCGAACCATCACAGTGTGAAGATTTACTTCCTTTTTTCAGGGAAGACAGTTTCAGAATAACATGATAATATCTATTTTAGCGCAGTCATGGTGATGTGCTGGGATTGGGTAAGGCAAGGATAGGAGCCAGCTAGAAGCAGAGATATCACTTGGAGCCTGTTGAAATAATCAGATAGTGGCTGTGGGCATGGGGAGGTGAAACACATGGGAGAGCTCTTCCCCAGACCCCCAGATCAACTGCCCAGAGATATATATCTGGCTGTGCTGATGAACAAACCTCTTGAAACTTTCAGCCAAGGTGGAGAATGGTTTTGCTTTGCATGGGAAAAGTGGAGGGAATAAATAGGGCTTTAACTGCTGAGAATGAGGAGTCTCAGCAGTGAGGTCTAATAGGCCATTGGAATTTAGAATTCAGTTCAGGTAAGGAATTGATTTAGGAGCCCGGACACAGGGGTTTTAATCAAACCTTGGGAAGAGTAAGCAGGAATGAAAAGGGAGCATAGAGAAAGGGATGGCCAGAAGTTTGGGAACCTCATTGCTTAAAGGCAGAGGAGAGAAGTTACAAAGATTATGAGAGACTAAAAAGAGAGCCAGGGGCCAAGGAAGGGGAGAATGCAGCAGCACAAGGACTGAGGAGTAGGCTTAGGATTGGACAGATAGTCATAGGTGACCATGTGCAGGGCAAATTGGTGGGAGTGATAGGGGTGGAAGTTGGGGAGGGGCTACAGGGGTAGGAAGGCACTATGTTTCCAGAAGTTGGCAAGGATAAGTGGAGTTCTCAGAGGACAGATGCCTTTGTGCCCATCTTTGGCCTGCCTCTATGCTTTCCTTCTCCTCTCCTGAAAAGCACCTGAATCAATCTGAACATGCACTCTGAGCAAGGTTCTTTTGCTCTCGTCTCATTTGCCCCATACATCCCATTTTACAGATGAAGAAAATGAGGCATTGAGGTTGGGAGACCTGATACAGCTGCCATGTGAGAGCTGGGCCTGAGCTCTGAGCACAGAGCTTTTTTTTACTCTGCATCACTACACTGCAAAACCCATGAGCCGAGCATTGCATTTCATAAAGCATCTCCCCAGGCTTTATTCTGTTTAGTGTTCCTGACAGCCTGGTGAGGGTATTATTTCCTCCTGCTTTACAGATGATGAAGCTGAAATTCAAAGTCATAAATGACTCGTCCAAAGTCATGCCATTAGTGAAATCCCTTCCTGAAGCACATTTGATTTCCAAAGCACAGAGTCTTTCCATATCTCCCTGTCATCCTCAGGATGAAATTTACATAACTTACCCTGACATAGAAGGGCTGCTTGTAGACCAGCTTGCCTACTTCTGTGACAGATCTTTGTTCCGTTCTTACACCTTTCAGGCTGTAGCACGTCCCTGGCCTCCCAGCCACAGCAGCATATTTATCCACTACATGTGTCCACCTCTATCACTGCCGGTGCTAGACTTGCTAGGATTGTTGGTAAATCTGTGAGGTCCCTAAGTAGGGCCTGTATCTGATTCATTTATAGCCCAGAATCCAGCACTTTAGACACCAGGAACTAGTGGATGTGAATGGATGATTGACAGATGAACGAATGACATTTGATCCTGAAATCAGCCTCCCCAGGGCTCTCTCATTATACATGCTTCTGGAAAATAACTGCCTTCTGGTCAATTACTAAAGGATCTTTGATGGTCAGAGCTTCTAAATTCTGGTCCCCTTCAGAAGGAATGAAGTTGAGGCCTCTTAGGGCCTCTTAGGCCTCTTTAGGACCTATAGGTTAAGTTGCTGACCCTGGCTGTCCCTTTTCTCCCATAGGTGGCCAGACTCCATTGTGGAACCATATGGACTCCGTAGAGCCTGCCGGGTTGCAACCTGGGAAAAGAGCTTCAGGCTGTCCCCAGAAGGGCTTATTTCAGCCCTCAGACAGCTCAGAGCTGGTAAGCTCAGCACTGGGGCTTGTTTGTGCTTATCTAAGGTTTCCAAGAGTAGGATGGCTGAAGGGGCTGTAGCCCCAGGGCTTATACTTGCTCGGCCTCTTTCCAGTTTACTGAGCTGTTCCTCTCTCATCTGATACCTCTCTCCTTTCAGGTTCCAAACAACTGGAAGGTGGGGATTAGCTTAGGGGCTTAGTAAACAGGTGAAGTGACCTGGGTTTAAGGCATGACAGAAGCTGGAGCTGGAGCTGCCTGGCAACCCCCCTACCCTGCCCTAAGTGGGTTGGCATGTCTAGAATGGACCCTCCTAGGATTTTATTGCAAAAAGCTGAGTTCTTGAGCCCCTTTCCCTCTTCTCCAATCCCTCTGTACGAGTCCCTGTCTTCACATGGCCACTGCAGTCAGGCATCCAGGGAGAAATGTAGTGCTGAACTCCTGTTGAAAGTTATTATGTAGTATAAACCACATAGCTGAAGTTTGCTCCAAATTTCTTTTTTCTTTCCATCATCTTGACCAAGATTCAGAAGCCCTTGCTTACCATATCCTCAAGTAGGAAATGCTTGTGTAAGTCATTTCGTATCTCTTGGTCTGTTTCCACACAAGTAAAATGGAGAAAAATAAAGTTGAATACTCCCTACCCCTTGGAGGATTAAATAAATGCATGCAGATAAAGGGCCTGCACAGAGGAGAGGCACATATGAAAGGGTTCCTGAATCATTCATTCCTTGCAGTTTCTGGCTTGTTCTGACATCTGCTCACTAGGCTTGTCCAACTGTAGGGCATGGTACTTCACTGCATTTCATGCTTCCCTTGCCCAACCTGTGCCCTAGACCTTGCTGTAAACATTTCCTCTGTGTTCAGCCATAGCTGGGCCTCAAGAATGACAAATAACTGTCCTCTGAGGCTTGATCCAAGGCCTGCCATCACCTCCTTTCTCACTTCCTGCCATCCCTCCTCTTGTGCAGAAACCACATCTGCCCTACTATCTCCACTACAGGCACCTGTGGTCTTAAGAATTCCTATTGGGCTAGGTGTGGTGGCACATGCTTATAGTCCCAGATATTCAGGAGGCTGAGGTAGGAGAATCAAGGCCAACTTGGGCCACTTAATGAGACTCTGTCTCAAACAAATGAAAAAAAGGGGGGCTGGAGATGGGGATGTAACTCAGTGGCAGAATAATTGCCCAGCATGCATGAGGCCCTGAATTCAATCCCCAATACTACATAAAAATGAAAAATGAAAAAAAAAAGAATTTCCTTTGGTTTTGGAAGACCTCACAGGGATGTCAAGCTTTTATAGTCTTGCATACCAACTCAGCACCCCAGGACTCACCATGGGCTCCTTTCCCACAGCCTTAGGTTGAATGAAAGATTAATCACATGTTGTCAGTGTCCAGCCCCATCTCAGTCTCTTGCCACAGCTTCCCCCCAAGTCTTTTTTTTTTTCACCAGGGAGGGTGCTGAATTAGACACCTCTAGGCCAATTGTGCATTATAATCTGAAGAAAGGAAACCCCTACATTCATTTCATCATGGACTTCCTTTGCACTACTCCATTGCTTTACATCTACTGTCTCCTCAGTCTTCACGGCATCTTTGAGACAGGTACTACTACTGACACCCTGATAGAAAAGGTAACTTGATCAGAAAGGTGAGGTAGTGGGTCCAGACTCACTGACATAGCAAATTAATTAAAGGAAACAGCATGGAAGCCACATTGGACTTCATATACTCTCTAATGCTTTTCTCCTCACTCTCTTCACTGAGGTCTTCCCACTCTTCCTGTGAGGGAAGGGAGGGGAAGTTCTGGTAGATTTTCCCGGCTGGTGTGCACCCTACCTGAGTCCGCCAGAGAAGTTCTTCTATCTTTCCTGTGGCTTTGATCATCTCCTAGTTCTCACCTCTTGAACCTCTGAATATAGTCAAGAGAAAAGGGAAGAAAAATATCGATTTTTCCAAATCATCAACTTTTGCATAATTTGACTGTTTTCATTAAGCAATACTAAGGCACCCCTCCTGTCCAAACAGTGCTTTACACTTCCACATTTGTTATCCTCTTTAATCCTTATGTCACCATTCAATCAACAGCTCTTGAGAGCCTGCCTGGAGCCAGCTGCTCAGCATGGCCCTGAGGGCTACAAACAACATAGGGTCCCTTGCCTCGGGGATTTGTGCATAGTATTATTTTCTCCATTTTGCACATGAGGTGACTGAGGTTTAGAGAGAGGTGTGACTTTCCAAGTATCACACAACCAGGAAGGGACAGGGTGAGGATTTTTATGTAGATTTTCTGTCAGGTCATGTGGGGTATCCCTCCTGCAATTTTCATCAACACTGGGTTCTTCTCAGGGAAGATAGGTAGTTTTTACAAGCCTTCACATTGATGTAGAAACATCTGCATGAGACTGATCTGGGTTCACAACCTATAACCTGCTCCTTCATAGCTCCTTGGGCTAGGCGATGACTTGCTTTCTCTAAGCCTCAGTTTCCTCATTTGTAACATAGGAATAACACCTCTTAGTGTGCATGGTGGCTGGAAACATCTGCTGCTGTGTAACCATAGTGGAACATCTGGCACTCCAATTAGGATTATGTGCCTCCTCAAGGATCTGTTTTCCAATATCTTCCTAAAGTAGGGAGTGAAACTGAATCCTTCTCATCTCCCTCAGTGGGCAGCCTCTCCTCCTGGGCTCTTCTTGGTGGTGGGGGCTTATTATCCAGGTGCCTGGGTTATTGTTTCACAGATATGGGTCCAGTTTGGGCAGGGGGTCCTCGGAATGGAATTCCTGTGTGACAGGAGATGGGTTTTTGGAAAATGTGAACCAGGGGATTATGGAGTGAGTCGCTGTGCCATGACTTTCTGATGAATCCAGGGGAGTTGTTGGGGCTTTGACAGAGGGACAAGGGGGATGTCCAGGGGAGGTGTCTGTACACAGAGGTGAGGTCCCCGGGGCTTGTTAGCACCCTGGCTTCTGGTGGAATAAGAATTTGAACAGTCACATCCTCTGCCTTCTCCTACCTTCTCAGCCCTCTCTTCCATCTTTAATCCCCTTCCAGCCCAGTCTCCCAGAGAAGTTCCCTTCATGCTCTTCCCCAGTACTTTGCTCCCTTCTTTCATTTAAGTCACCTCCTCAGGGAGCCCTTTCTGGACTCGTCTAAAGATAGTTCTTTCTCCTTTAATCCCTTTCTAATGTCTAGTTCTCACTCCTTTTTATAGTCACCTTCATTACCAGAATCATATGTTTATTTGCTTATTTCTGTCTCCCACACTGGAATCAGAGCTTTACAAGAGCAGTTGTGGTACTTAGAATAGTGCTGGGTGTGTGGTAGGAGCTTGGTCAATGTGTCAGAAACAGTGACCAGCTGAAGGAAAGACCATTTACCATGTCCTTTCTAAACTCTCCTGTGCCAGGCTTGTTTAGCCTTGAATTTGAGAGTGGGTTAGAGAGACAAACACTTGAACTTGAAATTTGTTCACACATTTGTTCATTCAACAACAACTCATCGAGAAGCTTTTTTCTCTGGTTACTGGGGAGCTGGAGAGCAATCAGTCAGAGTGACAGTAGGGAAGCCTTGCCAAACACTGACATCAAAGAAGTGGAGGGCCAGGGTAGAGGAGGTAGGAGTGAAGAAGACGCCATCAAGATACGGAGCAGGAAGAGGAATATTATGACTTTTCTCCTGAACAAAGCCTTCTGAAAACATAGAGCAAGTTGAAGGCTATGAGTGGTAAGAGAGTTGGGGTGTGTGAAGAGGCAAGGAGTGGGCTAGGCAGGTGTAAGGGAGAGCTCTAGCCAGGCCCAGGGGAAGCTGAGGGCCTGGGAGGCAGGATGTGAGCCAGGTATGGCAGGACTCTGCCGTAGTTCGAGTTGGGGGATATGACTTGTCCAAAAGGCTCCTTTCCAGCTAGTGGCTTGTTTTTCCCCAGGTACAGGAGTGTCTGCAGCAATTCAAGGTGACAAGGACACAGCTACAGCAGATCCAAGCCAGCCTCTTAGACTCCATGGAGCAGGCCCTGACAGGAGAGGCCAGCCCTGCCCCTGGTGTCCGGATGCTGCCTACATATGTGGGGTCTACCCCTCATGGCAATGGTGGGTGGCACAGAATAAGATGGATGATGAGGCTTGGAAAAGAGTACCGATCTTATCCTTGTCCCTCATCTCTGAGGTCCCTTTAACTAGATTCTGGATGCCACCTGCATACCTTTTTATGACCTGCTTGCCCCTAGAGCAAGGAAACTTCGTGGTGCTGGAGCTGGGGGCTTCAGGAGCATCACTGCGTGTCTTGTGGGTGACTCTGACGGGCATCAAGGGGCAGAGGGTGGAGCCCAAGAGCCAGGAGTTTGTGATCCCCCAGGAGGTGGTACTGGGCACTGGCCAGCAGGTGAGCACTCACTGTCCAGATTGGGAGGTCTGGGACCAGGCTGGGTGGCTGGGCCTGGTGGGTAGAGCTAAGTAACCTATTGTCCCACAGCTCTTTGACTTTGCTGCTCACTGCCTTTTTGAGTTCCTGGGTGCACACTCTGTGGGGAATCAGGGTCTGCAGCTTGGATTCAGCTTCTCCTTCCCTTGTCACCAGACGGGACTGGACAGGGTGAGGTGGAGGGGCAATAGGGACAGTGGGTGGAGAGGGAATGCAGCCCCTATGAAGGCCTTTGGAAGCGTAACCCAGCTTTTTTGCCCCCAGAGCACCCTCATTTCTTGGACCAAAGGTTTTAGGTGCAGTGGTGTAGAAGGCCAGGATGTGGTCCAATTGCTGAGAGATGCCATTCAGAGGCAGGGGGTAAGTGGGGAAGTAGGGGGTGGTGGGAGGCCTGCCCTTGCTGACCTGGGCTTGATCCCTGTAGGCTGTGCCTGTGCTGCTGGAAGGTCCTGCTTTTTCTCTCCTGTTCAGTCATTATCCAGTTTAACTCTGGGGTAAATGTTGCTACCATTCCCATTTTATAGGCAAGGAAACAGGTTAAAAAGATTCAAATGAATGTTCAAGACTGTGGGAGAGAAGAACAAACATGAAAAGGCTTTGACCCTGTCCTTAAGGGCTCTGTCCTCACAGTCTAGTGGGAAAATACATTCTAATAAAGACTGTCCCTGTGTTTGGATGACTCTGGCAGCACGAGGGTTGGGGAGCAGAACTTGGGGCTGTTTGCCTGGTGCCTAAGCTGAGCCTGGAAAGGAACATCTAGTCCCAGAGAAGGACATCTGCCAAAGTCTGGGTGCTGGAGAAAGGCAGATCTGTTTGGCTAACCGGGCGGTGGTGGGAGGGGTGGGGGTGGGGGTGCCCCGTGCAGAGGCTAGAAGTCAGGCTAGGAGGAGTGGGTTGGGGAGCCAGGTCAGGATGTGGGTGAGGCAAGGGAGGAGCAATCTTCAAAGAGGCAGTCAGTCTTGGACCCTCATCCTGTTTCTGTGAGGAGCACTGGAGGTGATGGCTGAGGTGGGAGGAGCCCCTGTGAACCTGAAGGCTTGAGTTGGGGTGGGATGGGAGGACAACCATCTCAGTAGCCTCCCGGGGATACTGGGGTATATGTGTCGAGCATGCAGATATGTGTTGCATTGACTCTGGATGTCTCCATCAAAGCCAGGGCCTCAAGCCAGCCCATTACCCAGTTCCCTACTTTGACCACCCATGCTGGCCCTGACCCCCACCCTCTCCATTGCCCAGGCCTACAGCATTGATGTGGTTGCTGTGGTGAATGATACAGTGGGCACGATGATGGGCTGCGAGCCAGGTGTTGGGTCATGTGAAGTTGGCCTTGTCATAGGTGAGCCACAGGCTATTTGTGATGAGGAATGGGGATGTGGCTACCTGGAGGCCAGGCCCTGATGGATATTGTTCCTACTAGACACTGGCACCAATGTGTGTTACATGGAGGAGGCACGGCATGTGGCAATGCTAGACGAGGACCGGGGCCGCACCTGCATCAGCGTTGAATGGGGCTCCTTCAATGATGATGGGGCTCTGGGGCCAGTGCTGACCACCTTTGACCATGCCCTGGACCATGCATCCCTGAATCCTGGTGCCCAGAGGTCACTTGGTGGGGGGAACCTGACTCTGTTCTAGGCTCTATTGCTGCTCTGACCCACCCCTCTGCTGCCCCTGCACTCAGGCCCATAGGCCCCTCCTACCCACTCTGAGGGTCTCCAGACTGCCTCCTGTGAGACTCTGGCCTGACTCAAAGAAGAAGGACCTCCAGGTTTCAATTCTAGCCCTCCCTTATTCTTGATAAAAGTTGGGAATGAGAATGGGTGACTCTGCCTTCCCTGGGTCCTATTCCCCCTCCAGGAGACCCCTGAATCTAAGCCAAAGTCAAGAGTGGTGGTAGACAAACCTCCACCTGTCCCCTGGGAGGCCATCTGCTTCTGATTTCTCTTGTCTGGGGATTTTGAAGAAAATTATCCTCTCTGGGAGGTCCTGGAAGTGGAGCCAGGGCAGCTCAGGGCTTAGCCAGCCTTCCCACCTGCAGGTTTGAGAAGATGATCGGGGGCTTGTACCTGGGGGAACTGGTGCGGCTGGTGCTGGCCCATTTGGCCCAGCACAGGGTCCTGTTTGGTGGCTACACCTCTCCTGCTTTGCTGAGCCAAGGCAGCATCCTCCTGGAACACGTGGCTGAGATGGAGGAGTGAGTTGGGGAAGCAAGCAGCTTAAACAAGAGGATTCTCAGCTTGGGAGGAGGGAGGATACTCTGTCCCTGAGGTGCCCATGGGGCTTTGGTGGGATGGGAAACTACTGGGCTATCTGAGCCCCAAACCAGCACTCTGTCCCCTACCCCCAGCCCCACCACTGGGGCAGCCCGTGTCCACACAATCCTGCAGGAGTTGGGCCTGAGCCCGGAGGCCTCAGATGCTGAGCTTGTGCAGCGCGTCTGTGCAGCCGTGTGCTCTCGGGCTGCCCAGCTCTGTGCTGCTGCCCTGGCCGCCATCCTGTCCCGCCTCCAGCGCAGCCGGGAGCAGCAGATACTCCAGGTCACCGTGGCTACTGGAGGCCAAGTGCTTGAACGGCACCCCAGGTACTGGGAAAACATGATCCATAAACATGTGTGTTTGTGATACAGAGTCAGAGGGCACTTTGCAATCACATGTGCAAGCCTGCGGATTCAAACGGCATCCAAGCAGAGCAAGGACCAGACTGAGCTGTGGGGTGCCAAGAGACATCCAAGCAGAGAAAAGAGGCTTCTGTTCGTGTGGATGTGGGAAGGGGTCATGCAGAGACAGGATGTATGGTTGGTTCGTAGAACAGATTCAGGATTGAATTGATTTAAACTGATAGGACCTTCAATCAAGCCCTGGGGGGCAGATGCCAAGCTGGGTCCACCTGGTGTATATCTGTGTAGGTTCCGCGGCATCCTACAGGAGACAGTGAAGCTCTTGGCTTCAGAATGTAATGTCTCCTTCATCCCTTCTGTGGATGGAGGTGGCCGGGGTGTGGCAATGGTGACAGCTGTGGCTGCCCGCCTGGCTGCCCACCGACGACTGCTGGAGGAGACCCTAGCACCATTCCGGTTGAGCCATGAGCAGCTGGCAACAGTGCAGACACAGATGCGGGAGGCCATGGCCAAGGGCCTGCGAAGGGAGGCCTCCTCTCTCCGAATGCTGCCCACATACGTACGGGCTACACCTGATGGCAGTGGTGAGGACCTAGCCTGAGTGGAATATGGGTCCCGGGGGTCACAGTGTGTGCTGAAACTGGCGGTACCAGCTCTGTCCTGGCATTGAGGGTCTCTACCCTACAGAACGAGGGGACTTCCTGGCTTTGGACCTTGGGGGCACCAACTTTCGGGTCCTCCTGGTGCGTGTGGCCGAGGGAGGTGTGCAGATCGTCAACCAGGTCTACTCCATCCCTGAGTGTGTGGCTCAGGGGTCTGGGCAGCAGGTACTCATTGCTTGGGCCCTGATATCAGAGGTAGGGAAGGGCCAGGATGAGGCCCACTGTCTGACTCGCCCCACCTGCAGCTTTTCGACCACATCGTGGACTGCATTGTGGACTTCCAGCAGAAGCAGGGCCTGAGGGGACAGAGCCTCCCCCTGGGTTTCACCTTTTCCTTCCCATGCAAGCAGCTTGGCCTGGACCAGGTAAGAGAAGGAGGGCCAGGAAAAGTGATTTCTCTGAGGGGCTCCCACCCACATATCCTTCATGGTGTAAGCAAAAGGCAGGGAGTGGTCTGAGTGAAGGTAGTGGGGAGCATTCCTGGGCTCAGCCTCAGATTCCCCAGATATCATGTGCCTATGGTTAGGGTCGGGGCATTTGGGAGCAGCACAGGCTCAGAAAGATTGCCCATTTAAGCCAGGGCACTGGTGGTCTGGCTTAGGGGTCCTGTACGAAGCTGTATTTATTCCTGTCTCTGGAAGGGAGGGAGGCTGCACTCTTCTTTGTTGTTGCTATTTCCTTCTCAGTGCCTTGCTTAGTTTTGGATACCCAATTGTGGTGGCAGAGTGACAGGCACAGATCTAGACAGAACTTTCTCACCCAGGACGCACCTCAGCAAATCCTTCAACATGTATCACAGACTTCTCAATGCAAACACCTGAAGCCTGTTACAGAAACAGTACTTCCAGGCCTCTGGTCCAAGCTCCCAGAATCAACTTCTCCAGCTTCTGTGCAGGGGCTGCTCATGCTGAGGGGCACCCAGCTCTTGTAGGTGTCTGTTGCATTCTTAGAAACCTATGGGAAATGAAGCTCTCCCTCCTTTATCATCAGCCTACATGTCCAGTTTTCACCCTCTGCTCCTTTCTGACCTCTCTCCAACACTCTGCTCTTTCCCTTCTTTTCCACCAAAGTCCTTTGGATGGCATAGTCACCACCATCCCTCTGCTGGTCTGCCCAGCTAAGTATTCTTGCTCCTCCTTTCCATTATTCCTTGCAAGAGGAGAGAGGAGGTGTGACTCAGTGTGCTGGCCCAGGCATGCAAAAAACTAGATTAACTTTCCATAACTAAATTTAATTCCTGTGTTGAGCTTTTGAGCCCTTTTTTTTTTCTCTTCCTCAATACTGGGGATTGAACCCAGGGCCTTTGCACTGAGCTGATTCCCCCTCTTATTTTTTTCTTTTTTGAGACAGGCTCTTGCTAACAGGCTGTGCTCAAACTTGCAGTTCTCCTGCCTCAGCCTCCCAGTGTTGGGATTACAGGTGTGAGCCACTGCACTTGGAGAGTCCCCATTCTTTTTTTTTTTTTTTTTGGTACCGGGGATCGAACTCAGGACCTTGTTCTTGTGAGGCAGGCGCCGTGCCACTGAGCTAAATCCCCAGCCCTGGAAAAAGTATAAAAGAAAATATTATTAGGGGAAAATGTTGGCTAGTATTTCTTGAATCTCCTTCCCTGGCTGGGCATGGTGGCACATACCTGTAGTCCCCTTAGAGACTGAGTCAGAAGAACTGCTGGAGCCTAGGAATTTGTGGCCAACATGGGCAATGGAATGAAACAAAACAAAAACAGCCAGGGGTGGTGGTGCACATCTATGATCCCAGCACTCTGGGAGGCTGAGGCAGTTGGAGTGCAAGTTTGAGCCCAGCCTGGGTAACTCAGTAATTCAGCAAGATCTGTCTCAAAATAAAAATAAAATAATAAAAAGAGATCTGGGAATGTAGCTCAGTGCAAAGGCCCTAGGTTCAATCCTCAGTACCAGGAGGAAAAAGTCTCCTGTTCCAAAGATTTTCAGACCTGCTCTTGGTGCTTCTGCCTTGGACAGAGTAGTCATTTCCCCTGACAGCTGTAGTCTCATTCCCATTCTCCCTGCCTCCTCAGAAAAGCACACTAAGAAAAGGACAACCCTTTTCAGGTCCAGTCAAGCCCCTTGTCACTGATCCAAGTCCAGTGTCTGTCCTGCCCCTGCCCAGCCTGCACAGATGTCTGTCTGGCTTTTCCATTTGTCCTTCACCCAACAAAGGAGCGAATTTCACATGGATACAGCTCCATTCCCAACTCCTTCCTTTCAAGTGATTCTTGCAATTTCTCTCAGAAGGGGTGGGTTGTGCTGGCATTGGGGCCTTTGAGCTTTCTCTGACCTCCTCTTTCTCACATACCACACTCACTTTGTCAGGTCTGTTTATTCCTAACCCAATTAAGAAGGGCCATTCCTTCTGGGCAAATGTCATAAAATGGCCAGACCCTCAGACTGTCTGAGCATCCTGGAACTAATAATGGAAGACGTAGATAAAATCATTATTAGTAGGTTTCTTCACATTGAAAACCTCCTGGGGAGTTGGGAGGGGGTAGAAGGCAAGGCCTTTGACTGTAGGACAAAGCGGGGAAGGAGTCCTCCTTGGGAGGGCAAAAATCATACGCTTTTGGTGGGATGTAGGCTTTGGGGAGGCAGAGTAAGATTTGAAGGGAACACCTAGCTTTCTGTCCCCTCTTGGTCCCATCCAGGGCATCCTCCTGAACTGGACTAAGGGTTTCAACGCATCAGGTTGCGAGGGCCAGGATGTTGTGTATCTGTTGCGGGAAGCCATCAAGCGTAGACAGGTAGGAGTCTGCCTCCAGGGACGCTTTGGGGCTATGGCAGGTCTTGAGGGACCAAAGGGTCTTCTGCTTCCTGAAAGAGGGGCTCTCTGCAATAGAGACCTCTGGGGCCAGTGCTGGTTGCCATGACAACTGCTGTTGCCCAGCAACTAGCAGCATCCTTTTGTGTGCAGGCAGTGGAGCTGAATGTGGTTGCCATTGTCAATGACACAGTTGGGACCATGATGTCCTGTGGCTATGAGGATCCCCGTTGCGAGATGGGCCTCATTGTTGGTAAGGAGAGCCCTGCCCTTTCATGACCTACTTCCTGATAATTTGCTGCCTCCTGCTGATTCTCAGGTTGGATGCTCCACTGGATTTGGGGATATGGGATTATTCTTGTCTGACACAATAGAGCCTGGAACACTAAGTTGGTCTGGTAGTCTGGGACTGGGCTTTTTAATCCAACTCAGCTACAGATTAATAGTCACTGAATCTTTCTGAGCTTCAGTTTGCCCATCTAGCAAATGAATCTCTGCTTTGGAGTTATATGGATTTGGGTGAAAATACTAACTTTGCCATTTCTACCTGTATGACTTTGGGCAAGTCACTAGAGCCTAAGTTTTCTCATCTTAAGATGTGTATAATAACAATGCCTGCCTCAAGGCATCATGAAGATGAAGTGAGAGGGGGTAGTGTGGCACAGTGCCTGGCTCATGGTTCATGCTCAGTGTTTGAAACCGGGCTGAGTGTAGGGGAGTGTTGAACTAAGTCAATCCTTCAAGTCCAAGATTCTAAGTCTTTCTTAAGTAGCTACCCTGTGGCCAGCTGGTAGCTGGACAAAGGGACAGGAAAACATATGAAAGAAGGGGAAATCTGTCTTCTTACAACTGACCATCCAGCAGTTTGAGCCCAGAGTACCACATGTTAGTCAGAAAGAGCCCACTGACTCCACAAACAGATAGGATCAAGGCCAAAATTAGAAAGGAACAGGTCCCGAGAAAGTAGTGTTTGAAATGAACACGCTGAAGAAAGGATTTGGCTAGGTGTTGGAAGAGGGCTTTCAAGCTTCTTGGACACTGGTCTCTTAGAGGATAAGGTGCATGGTGGCCTCTCATGGATGGGAACTTCTTGAACACAGGACCTGGCATGGGTAGGTGCTTGGAAAAGGCATATCCATTTTGGTGTGTGAATAAACTACTCAACAGAGAAATTGAACCTCTTGGATTCAAACCCCAACCCCAACAGCACTTCTTGTCTATACCTTTTTTGACTTTAGGCAGCAAGACCCACTTTGTGCTCCAGGACTCCCGTGATGCTGTCCTTTGACTTCTATTTTTTTTCCCCCTTTGGCTTCTAGTAGAGCTCATACACATACTATCAGAGTTGACTATTCATTGACCAACTTTGGCAAGATTGGGTTTCCTTGTGTGGATTTCTATGTCCCCACCAACTGATCCACTAGCAATTAGTTTGACTAAAGGCCTAAAAGGCCAGTCTGGAGAGCTTTGGCTTTTTACCAACAGATAAGATAGTGGGGCTGTTGCACACCTCCCAGGGAAATGACATATCTGATGGGTGCTGTGGGAGCACTTTTGGGTATCAAGGTAGATGCACTGATGGTGGTGCTGGTAGGGGAAATCATGGAGGCCCTAAGGCCTTGGTGCTAGCAGAGTCTGCACTAGGGACTTCAAGAAGGAGGGAGGAACAGGACCAGGGACAGGTTTTGAATGCAGGAAGAGGAAGTAGGGATGCTAAATTTTATCATTTTGGTGTGGCAAGTGCTCAGAGGGGCCTTGTCTGTATCAGTAAATGAATCCACTTTGTCTGGCCTCTGCAGGAACTGGTACCAATGCCTGCTACATGGAAGAGCTCCAGAATGTGGCAGGTGTGGCGGGGGACTCAGGCCACATGTGCATCAACATGGAGTGGGGTGCCTTTGGGGATGATGGCTCTTTGGGCATGCTCAGCACCTGTTTTGATGTGAGGGTGGACCAGGCATCCATCAATCCTGGCAAGCAGAGGTGTGCCCTGGGTCTGGGCAGGTCTGGCTGGCAGTGGCAGCCCAGGGGTGGGGTCTTCTGCCCCAGGAAAACACATACATGTTCTTGTAGGTTTGAGAAGATGATCAGTGGGATGTACTTGGGAGAGATTGTCCGCCACATCCTCTTACATTTGACCAGCCTTGGAGTTCTCTTCCAGGGCCAGCAGACCCAGCGCCTTCAGACTAGGGACATCTTCAAGACCAAGTTTCTCTCTGAGATTGAAAGGTAACTGAGGCTTGAATTGCCTCCCCACCTCCCAAAGTAGTCTGTCTGTCCACTGGGGGAATACTGCCTGCTGTGTGTGGGCCAACTTGGAGGATGAAGTGGGAGGAGTCTTGAAGGTGAGGTGTCAGGGAAGCTAATACAGGACCATGCCTTTCTATGTTTGTTCTGTTCCTTCCTGGCCCCCAGCGACAGCCTGGCCCTGCGACAGGTCCGAGCCATCCTGGAGGATCTGGGGCTGTCCCTGACCTCGGATGATGCCCTGATAGTCCTAGAGGTGTGCCAGGCTGTGTCCCGGAGGGCTGCCCAACTCTGCGGGGCAGGTGTGGCTGCTGTTGTTGAGAAGATCCGGGAGAACCGGGGCCTGGAGGAGCTGACGGTGTCTGTGGGGGTGGATGGGACCCTCTACAAGGTGCACCCTCAGTGAGTCTGGATAAAGGGCCCAGGCAGGGCAGTGTGGCCAGGTAGGGTGAGGTGGGGCCAGGTTGAGCCTTGATAGCCTGTGCTAACTTTGGCCCCTCTCCCTCACAGCTTTGCCAATCTTGTGGCTGCCACAGTACGGGAACTGGCCCCTCGCTGTGTGGTCACCTTCTTGCAGTCAGAAGATGGGTCTGGCAAAGGTGCAGCTTTGGTCACTGCTGTCGCCTGTCGCCTTGCTCAGATGGCCTGTGTCTGAGGAAATCTCCAGGAACCACCTTGGTGGACCAGGACTGGATCCAGCCTATCAGCTAGACTCAACCACTCAGGACTCCCAGAACAGCCTGTGTGTGACCCCTCTGTGGCCATCTACCCTCACCCCCTTGGCTTTCCCCAAAAGAAGTAGCACAGGGGTTAGCAATATATATATATAATTTATTTACATTCACGTCCGCTAAAATCCCTATGTGCCCCGGCGGCCGGGCAAGGCTGTGTACATAAGGCCAAGTGTAAGTGCTTCAAAGCACTTAAGACAGAGTCAGGACACAAGCTTCACACGACAGGCCCCAGGCTGGGGTACCGGCCAGCCCCAGGAACGGGCACACCATGGCACACACACTCGCCATTGTACAGCCCGGGACTCCCATTGCATATTCACACGCCCCGCCAGGCAGGACACCTCGAGGCCGGGGAAAGGGGGGTAGGATCGGGGAGGAGCCGTCGGGTGTCCCTGGGTGGGTGGAAAAGGGCAGCATGTGAGAGGCAGGTGTGTACCGACACTGGGTGTGAGAGACGTGAGCAGCCTCTGGGTGTGCAGCATGAGATGTGTGTGGTGGTGGTGGCAGGTCTCTGTGACCCAGGAGGGTGTGTGTGTAGGATGAACACACGAAGCATGCGTGGGCACATGCCTGTGTGGTGGTTGTGTGCCTGAATCCAGGGCCAGCCCCCTCTCTGGTTGGGGCCTCTCTCCTACAGGCCTGGAACTGCGTCCCTCAGATGTGCCCCTCCCCAGCAGGCACAGAAATGTTTGCATAAGGCCCAGCTTAGGCAGGAGCTCTGGGGCCATGTCCGAGCCCAGCATGTGCATGCATGCCATGTGTATGCGGAGCCCCTGGCAAGGGGCAGGAGGAGAGGTAGCATCACACGCACATATACACACACAGATGGGCTGGGCCCGGCCCAGGCTCCAGGCACTGTCCACCCAGGGACCTAGGGCTGGGACAAGTGTGAGCAGGTGGCTGTACTTGCCTGGCAAGGCAGGCCATGAAGGAATTGGAGTTCAGGCAGGGTCTGAAGGACCAGCATTAAGGGACAACATTGGCCAGGATGGGGCCTGTCCAAGCAGCTCTCCCCCTGTGGGGTAGGGCCCCTGTCCGGCTTCTGCCTGTCCCTGGCGGGTGCCAAAGCTGGTGAGAGTGTAGGCGTTTTGGGCCTGGCTGTCCTCAGCACTCGGCCTCTGACACTGTGAAGAGGCCAGCATCTGGCTGGCCCAGTCCAGCCACTGCCGCCGCCAGCTGGCTGAGGTTGCCATTGGGGAAGTGTCGTGCCTCCCACAGGTTGAGGATCATGGCTGTGGGGCTGGGCTTGGAGGCAAAAAAGCTGAGATGGCTGTGGAAAGGAGGGAATTGTCAGTGGCCTGGCCTCACCCCAGCTTGCCACCTCCTGTCTCCCAGCTTAGCCAAAGATAGGGCCTCCCCTCAGCCAAATACACTGACTGCCCAGACACTAGAGGATGTGGCACAGGCCCACAGGGTCTCCTGTCCACCCCAGCCAACCCACCTGCCTGGGATGGATTGTGGGTGGCCTTTGCAGCCCCTCCCCACCCATCTCCCACCCACCTGTCTAGGTGGAGTTTCTGGGCTAGAGTCCGCCAGTCGGCACCCCGGCTGCATGGCAGATCCAGGCTGGTAATGATCTTCTGCCGAATGAGGAAGGGGATCTTGAAGGCACTGGGGCCCACCAGGGCTGGGACCCCCCCTTCACTCTCCAGAGCCAGCAGCTCAGCAAACCTCGTGTCCTAGGTGGGGAGAGACAGGAAAGAGGTTCCTGTGAGAACCAGGCCACTGCTGCCTCCTGCTGGGGGAGCTCCCAGACCACTCCAGACCTGGGGATAGCAAAGGCTCTAGGGCTTCCCAGGTACCCTCTCCGTCATGTGTCAGGGTGCTACGCTTTGAGCTTGAAGCTTACAAGTGCACTCTCCACCTAGAATCACAGCCAGTGAGCAGAAGAGCCCTCTGGTCTCATTCTCCTCCATTTCCACCCTCACCCTTAGTCCTGTGGGCTATTCAGCACTACTGCTCTCTTCTCATGGCCTTTGTCCTCCCCTACTGCCACAAATGCCCTTTCCCACACTGATGCCTGTCAAAATTCTGCTCATCCTTCTGGAACCAGTGCAAAACTCTCCTCAAGGAAGCCCTTCAGGCCTCCCACCAGCCCTGTCTCCTCCTCCTGCTCCTAAACTGTTTGGCTCCCCTCCCCAAGTTCCCTTTGCATCCCAGGACACTTGGAGGGAGGTCCCAAGTGGTTTCTAGAAGAATCGGGTTTGGGAAAGAAAGAGGGGCTGGTGGCAGGGTGGGCAGAATTGGTCCAGGGAGTGGAACATTTCTGGGGGGTTGGTGGTGACAGCATATGGCCCTCCTGCCCACCTTGGTGATATTGAAGTTGATGTTGAAGCTCTGCCCATCGCCCTCCACCTGCCACACCCACACCTTGCAGGCCAGGTCACTGGTGCTGGGGCTGACGCGCTCCAATGTGAAGGTGCAGTGCAGGTACTGTTGCGTGCCATTCCAGATGTGATAAAAGGGGATCTCCTGGGGGGGGGCGGCAGAGGAGATGTCAGGTGTGCCCAGCTCCAGCTCTTTGGGTGCTGGTGGTGGGCTTGGCTCTCACCTGGTAGCTGACAAGAAGCTTGCTCTTCCATAGGGAGCTGGGCACGTCATGGATGGATAGGCGCAGGTTGTGATAACTGTCCTTGAAGTGCAGAACACGAGGCTCCTGGATCAGCTGTCCACCCAGCTGCTTCTCCAGCTGCACCACCTCCTGTAGGGCCCCAGGTGATCAGCAGAGCCTGGGGCCTGGGAGGACCCCTCCCTACCGCCCCTGAGGCAAGGGGCCTCCATGCCTAGGGCTGGGGGACTGGGGAGGGGTTCGTTGCTACCTTGAGTGCGTCCTGGGTATCATGCAGGCAGTAGACACGGATGTTGTACTCAAGGGAGGTGCAGGCCACAGGGGCGAATAGAAGCAGCTTGAGGCGCTTGGCGGCGGCCACGCTGAGAGCCTCTCCCACCAGGGCAAAGCGTCCCAGCTGCTCGGTGAAGACGTAGCAGGCACTGGCCTCCAGCTGGCAGTAGTAGAGGTGGGAGGGCACCTCTTCACCCAGGTGCAGCACATCCTGCAGGTGGAGCCCAATGGTGAGTTCCACCAGCCTTGGAGCCCACAAGCCACCCCGAGCTCTGAGATGCAGCCAGAGATCTGAGAGGGGTCGGGGCACCGTGCAGAGCCACAGCTGCTCAGAGCACAGGGTGAGCGCAAGGGAGGCTACATTCCACTTTGAGGCCAGTGCTCAGGTGGGTAGGCTCAGGGCTATCCCATACTCACCTCCCAGCTTCCCTCACAGGACTGTTTTTTGAGGCGCAGGCTCCAGCTTTCGGGGCTGGGCTCCCCACAGTGGTCCATGGCAAGGATGACTGGCCGGGTGAGCAGGACTCCAGGGGGCCCACAGCTAACGATGGGACTCAGCAGGGTCTGACAGCCAGCTAGGGGCAACCTCAAGTGGGGAAACATGTGTGGAAAGAGAAAGGTGTCAGTGGCCTGTCCTAGGGACCAGGGGTCAGGGCAGAGTTACTCCAGGGTGAGAGGTTAAAGAGCTGGTGGGCTCGTCCCCCTGCCCTCCCTCAAGCCAGCCAGGCCCAGCAGTGACCGGGCAGGGGCCATCCCAGTGACAGGCCGAAGACAGGACCCTACCAGCCCCAGCAGCAGGGCCCAAGCCCACACCTCACGTCCTCTGGCTTGTGTAGTGTGAGGTAGATCTCGTAGATCTTTCCTCGGGGGATGGCATCTGGGGGGATGAGGAGGCTGATTCCTGTAACAGTGCAGGAGGAGGCCCAGGCTTATGTGGTGTAGACACCCAACACCACACTAGCCAGCCCTCCCACAAGGCTCATGTTGGGGACTGGCCAGTACCAGCCTGGCTTGAGGTCACAGGGGCTGTGACCAACCACTCACACAGGAATGAAGCTGAGTCAGAGTCCAGGAAAAGCTGAGGAAACACAGGTGGGAAAAGCATGCATAGTTAGCTTGGGCACGGAAAACTTTGGGACAGAGGCACCAGGTCTGCTGTCCCTACCTTCTGTATCACGCAAAAGGCATTGGCTGGGACCAGGACATTCCCTGCTTAAAACCTTCCCTAACTCTGTGATAAAGTCCAGCTTCCTGGCTTGGCATCTAAAGGCCTTCACTGCTGGTCCCACTGTCTTTCCAGAAGCATCTCCAGCCCTGCCATGGTACATACTTAGAGGTACCACTGCCAATCTGTCCTGCTCCAGCTTCTCCCTTCTCCTTTGGCTAGGGACCCCTCTAGGGCCCGGCCACTCCCTGCCACTATCTCTGTCCTTGCAGGCAGAGTTGGGTTCAACAACCCCATGGGCTTTGGCAGCCCTCCTAGTCTGGGATGGCACAGATGGATTCTCCCAGGTCTGGCTGCTGTGTGTGTGCCTCTGCCCCAGTGCCTTGCAGGAGCAGTTTCAGAGCCTTTGCGGAGAGAAGAGGCTTCAGGTGGGAGGGAAGAGGACAGGCTATGTCCAGGACAGGGGCTGGAATTCACTTCAGGGAAGATGTAAGGAGTAGCTCTCCTCCACCTAGGACAGACAGCCCCTGTATCAGAAAGGACCCCCCACCTCAGCACAGGGGGAAAGTAAGACAAACATTCTGTGACTTTATCCCAAAAGCAAACATACTTTCCAGAGTGGGGAGCTTTGAGGTGGGCTGAGCTGGAATGTCGCAACAGACATGTTCCACATATTTCCATGCATGCAGAACTAACTGCTTATGTGATGGTGGTCCCATGAGGTTATATCACCTAGTGACATCATAGCTACCTAGATTTTCATAATCCCACTCTGTGATGTCCATACAGTGATGAAATTGCCTAAGGGCGCATTTCCCAGTACACGTTCCCATCATTAAATGATGCATGATTGTATTTTATAGAAAACTGGAGCCAGGCAGATAGAGACATTGAGGCCATATTCACAGTGATTGCTCCCTTGGCCAACCCATGCTCCCCCTACTACTCAGTGTGGCTGGTGTTGGTGCCAATCCTAGACATCTCGGTGTGAATGCTCTCTACGGGGGAGGTACACGCCCTTGTGTGTTCATTCCAATAATACTAAGACTGGACACTTAGGAAGGATAGGGAAACAATGGACCCTGCTCTTGTGACACTTAGCCACTGGGGAGAAAGACAGGTGAACTGCAGTAAAGGATATGGGACAGGTGGCATCCCCACCTACCAGGGAAATGGAGGCCGGTGGCCACTGGGCAGCCATTGTTTGCCTGTTCTTTGTTCGAGCTGACAGGAACCACCTCAGCACATCATTCTAATAGTCCTACGAGGGGTTCACTATCATTCTCTGTCCAAAGGGGACATGAGGCACAGAGAGCAAGAGCTGTCAGGCCAGAACTCAGAGAAAAAGCAGCAGATGAACCAGTGGGAGGGGCAGAAGGACTCTTGTGTACAAACAGAAGCAGGGTGTGTTGGGGGTGCTGAGGGTCTAATGTGGTTGCCATATGCAGAAGAACATGTGGGAGGGAAGAGGCTAGAGCAGCCTTGTTATCTCTGCCTGGGAGCAGCAGGGAGCCCCACGAGGGGTTTGAGCAGGATAGGGACATGATCAACTCTGGATTCACTGGATGAATGTTTGGAAATGAGATAAAGGGTGTGGCAGCCTGGGCCAGGAGAAGCATCAGGGAAAGATAAGAGGCAAGGGGAGGTACGAACTATAGAGGAGGGAGAACACAGAGGGGCTAATGTGTGAGTGAAGCAGGCATGGGGATTAGGGGGCAAATGAGGAAGAGCAGGAGGCCAAGGTGACCCCCAGCTGGTTTCTGGCTTGAGCAACTAGACTGTGATGTAAGCTGGGGAAAACTGCAAAGGAGGCTGCACTGAGGGAAGGTGGGAGACAGTTCTGCTTCAGGCACAAGGAATCTGAGGTGCCATGAGACATCCAGATGGAGCTGCCCAGAAGGCAGTTGGGTTTGCAGTTCTGGCACCCAGGAAAACAGTGGGCTGGGGCTGGAGGAGTGAGAGTGATTGGCACAGACACAGCGATTGGAGGCATGGAGCAGGTAAGATCACTAGAGGAGAAGGGCATCGGGAGTGAACGCTGAGAAACGCCTAAGTTCAGGTACCAGGAGCAGCCAGAGAGGGGCAAGGAAGCCAGGGTCCCACTGGGTCACCTACACTGAGGGAATAGAGAATTTAGGGTGGAGCCTCACCAAAGGCTGCAGTGATTCTCCCAAGATGGCCACAAGCATGTCCCTGGGTTCCCTAGCAGGGTGTCTCCGGGACCCTGTTAGAGGGATTACTGTGAAGTATAGGGTGGAAAGCCAGGATGCAGTGGGGGTTCCAAGAGGCCCCCTGTCTGGCCTAGGCTGTTCTGCATTTGTCTCTGGCATCTCTCCGCCTATAGGTAAGCCCCTTGGGGCTGGTGCTTGGCCCACCTCTGAGCCCAGGTCCCAGAACAGAGCCCAGGACATGGAGGCAGTCTGCATAAATGGATGTGCAACAGTCTTATGTCCACAGGCAACAAGAGGGAGACAGCTCTGGCCACAGCCCCACTGCCAATGCTACTCCCAGACACAACTGAGTTCTCTCCACAGCTCTGTCCTTGCTTGGTGGCTCAGCTCTGTCACTCCAGGCTGAGAATGAGGGACCTAGGAGGAACATTGGTGCTGTCCTTGTCCTCCAGGTGGGAAGTAGAGGCTCGTCTTGCCCCTTGGGCTGCCTGGGGCACTCAGGTCCTTCCTACCTGTATTTGGGATCATCAGCCGGCCCCCGAGGAAGTTGAAAGTCCCATAGGCCATGTTGCTGGTGCCACGGGGCAGGGAGCGAAAGTAGTTTTGGGTGGAGAGGCGGGAAATGAAGTCCTCAGCCTCAGAGGTGGGCGAGCTGTGGTGCAGCGTGTGGCGACCACCACCCAGAGGACTGAGCAGGTGCCCGTTGGTGAGCTGGAACTTGGGGCTGGGCCCATCTTGCCGGGGACACAGACTGCCCTGGTAGGTGGTGGTGGTGGTGCTGAGGTCTGGCTGGATGGTAAGCAGATGGGGATTGTCTGCAGGGATAAAGACAGGCTCAGGGGATGGTACTGAGGGTTTCCCCTCCTCAGGGGTAACTGGTGTGGGGTCCTGGGTGAGAGTGCTGCGGGCAGGGGCTATCTCACCTGCTTTGCTGGGCTTGATACTGACAGGCTGGAAACCTGAGGTGAGAATGGATGAGTCGGCCACATCCGAGTCCAGCCCCTCCTTCTTGCGGCAGTAAACGAGGATGAGGACAAGCAGCAGCAAGATGAGGCACACAGCCACAGCAATGAGGCCTACATAGAGGGCCACATCCTCAGGGCCAGAAGCAGCTGCAGAAGAGAGCATGGCCTTGGGAGAGGCAGGAGTACAGGGCTCGGGAGAAGTCAGTGGCCAACAGCCAGGAGGATGAGGTCTCCAAATGAGCATCAGCACTGGCTTGGCATTGGACATTTGGGGCGAGGAGTATGATGTTGGCATGTGTGCATTCTAGCTCTGTACCTCCCACCACCTTGCTTGTGACTCTTGAGCAACTCACATTTCTCCTAGGCATGTGATTCAGGCTGAGGTGGCTGCCAGAAGAATGGAGGAGGGGAAGAACTATGTCCCCAAACTGGGCAGCCTGGTGCCTGAATACTAGGATAAACCTGCTCCCTGCTGAACCCACTACCTGATCACTGCCCCAGGATAACTGAGGCTGGGAGGGTGCCTCTGGTATCCCCCAATACAGGGTGCAACTCCCAAGGTTCATATATTGAAGATTTGGTTCCCAGTGTGGTGACATGAGAGGTGGTGTGACTTTTAAGAAATAAGGCTCAGTGGGAGGCCTTTAGGTTATGGGGGTGCTGTCCTCTGAAGGGACTGAGGTATTTTTTGTGGGACCCTTGTAGGTTCTTATGAGAGGGTTGTTATGAAAGAGCAAGACTAGCTTCTCCCTGATCATCTCTCTCTCTCTCTCTCTCCCTCTCTCTCTGGGTTCTTGTCTCACTATGTGATCTCTTCCTTTTGCATGAGCTCCCACCTTGATGCCATCCACCATTAGTTCATGTAGCTAAAGGAGCCCCTGCCAGAACGACTGCCGTGCTATTTAGAGACTTAGGCTCTAAAACTATGTGCTAAGTACAGTAAACCTGCTAGTGCAGTATAGTAAACCTATGCTTAGTACAGTAAACCTCTTTTCTTTACAAAGTATACAACTTCAGGTATTTCAGTATAGCAATGGAAAACTAATATCTGTGGGCTCTGCTTCCCCTGTGGTTCCAGGTCAGTCTGTAGGCCTTTCTCCTTGTCTATCTCTCCCAGGCCTGGAGCTTGGCTGGGGACAGGGGATTGACTGCTTGGAGGAAGCTATATTGATTTTAGAAGGGTTTTGCATAATGGAAGAAATGTCCATCAGAAAGGAATTGACACAGATAATTAGGTTTTTAATTGAAAGAACGGGGAAGGGTGTGTTCTAGAGAAAAAAATCCAACAGAGATCTTTAATTGTTAGTTATGGCCTTATAATTAACAGGCCTCACAAGCCTGGCATCCCCACAGGATTTGTGTGTACACTGGGGGTTGGGGTGGACATGAGGCTGTAGGAGAGTTGTTGGGGTGAACAGATGGGTGTCCACAAGTCAAGGTTCAAATTGATACATGTCTCAGGATGCATGTGAGCGTGCATGGGCTCGTGTGGACACGTCAGGACTAGGGGGCCTCCCTGAGGGTCCTGAGCTTTGGAGAGGGATGCAGCCTGTGGCAGGAGGATGACTGGTTTAGCCACCACCTCCCCAGAGAAGACTCACTGTGCACACAGAGGTCGCTGGTACAGTTGCGGGTGTCCAGGTCAGCGCCCCGGCACTCCTCACCCCCATTTCGGGGTGCTGGCTCAGAGCACTCACGGCTCCGCCAGTGTGTGCAGTCGAGCCCACAGGCCGACCACTTGCTCCATGGGCTCCAGCTGCCATCCACTAGATGAGAGACAGGCAGAGAGGAGACAGGGCAGTCAGCCTGGGAAGCCAGTCCCAGGCGGTCTGCCAGCGTAGCCCCACTGGGCATCTGGACCAGGCAGGACAAGCTGACCTGGACCTGGGCATGATGCCAGGGCCAGGCCCACCAATCTGCACGCCCTCCAGAGTCCAGCTGGCTTCGATGACACACATGCTAATGACAGGGAGGCGTGGATGACGCCAGGGGCTGCTTGGCTCTCCCCACCCCAGGGAGGCCGTGCTGGTTCTGGGGTAGTAAGGGCTCTCAGGCAAATGATGACCCTTCTGGTCCCAGGCACAGGTAGATTCAGCCCCAGGCTGAGCCCCAGACCCTGTCCTTGATTGTACCTTACACCCTGTGACTTTGACCCTGTGTTAAGCCCCCAGCCTGGAGAGTACCTGAGCCCTGACTCTGAACAAACTGTATCTACATCCCTGCCTCAGACTTAGCCTGGGCCTGCGTGGCAGGCAGGTGGGATGGAGCCATGGCGGGGGGGCAGGCTGGTGGGCGCGATGGAGCCAGGGCACGGAGATGACGTGGTGAGAACGATGCGGGAGGCGGTGGCCGCTGGTACCTGGGCACAGAGTGGCGCAGGCTGTTTTCTGGACATTCTGCCCCTCACAGAAGGCGCCCCCGTTGAGAGGTGCCGGGTTGGTGCAGCTCCGGCTCCGTTTCTGCCAGCCGCGCCCACAGGTGGCACTGCAGACGGACCACTCGGTCCACGTCGACCACCCACCGTTCACTGGCCGGACAGAGAAGGACTGGGGTCAGGGAGCGGGGGCTTCCTCAAATACTGGCCCAGGGGACAGGGCATGAGCACAGGGGCTTTGAGCTGGAAATGGTGTGCTGTGGCTGTACTGGGAGAGAAGTCCTGAAAGGGAGGGCCACTCCTGTGCCTGCTGCCCCAGGGCCTGGCAGCATCCCCTGCAGGACCTACCCTTTTCCTGGCAGGTGCTTGGGCAGCCAACAGAAATGAGCTCACTTGCAAGTCCAGCCCAGACTCTGATCTCTCATAGGGCAACTCCCACATCCTACTCTGACTGCTCCTGGTGTGCCCGGGACCAGGGGATGATTGATACCTTCCCTGGATCCCCTCCTATCCCTTTATTTCCTGCACAATGCTTCTTTCCCACAGTTGACCACCAATCTGTCCTACCCCTCTGTCCAGACACATCCCTAGTATCACTAAGCACCGTGCACACCCTTTCCTTGTCCTTCCTGGCCAGGCCACTGTTTGGCCTACCTGGCCTTAGCTCTATGGCTTTCTCTACTCTGCCAGCCGTACATCACTCCCTCAGTGGCACCTCAGTACCTCTCCCAGCCACTAGGGAGCTTGGGACCCACCGTAGACAATGACAGCAGCGGAGGTACTACGGCGACGGGCCACGATGTTCTTGGCCACACAGGTATAGTTGCCTGTGTCAGCCAGGCGGGCCTGCCGCACAACCAGACTGTGTTCCCGAGTGATGTACACGTTGGGGTCCAGGGATGGGTCCACCAGGTCCTCGTTCCGGAGCCACTCCACCTAGGGAGGAGCCAAAGAATGCACAGCCAGCCCATGCTGGCCCTACCCAGAGCACAGAATGCCACTGGGGAGAGGAGCATTCAGGGGTCCAGGTAGGTAGACTAGAGAACTGAGAGCTTTGCCCACCTGGAGTGGGCATGGGAGCTCCTCTCACCTCAGCTGGGGGGATGCCCTCTGGGGGGCGGCAAGGCAGCACAATGCCCTGCTCCAGGGATACCTCCTTGGCCAGTGGCTCCTGCTCAAAGTTCTTGCGCAAATCTGGAAGAAGAACAATAGTGTCTTCTCACCTGAGTGCTTGCTCAGCCTGGTCATCTCTATCTCTTGGTCCTACAGGGGCATGGTACAAGGCAGGAGGAAGTGCCAAGTGCCCAGGGGGATCAGGGGAGGGCTTAGTAATGTCCCTACAGACTTCCTCCACCCATTAAAGGCAGGACAATGGAGTTTCCTGACCAGACCCCTTCTTCCTGGAAGCCTACTTCCCCATCTCCTAGTGGCACCCTGGAGAGCGGGCTGGGACTCACAGGCAATGCGGATGTAGGCCTTTTGACTCTTGGTGGTGCCCGAGGAGCTCCATGCCACGCACTGGCACCAGTATTCCTCCAGCCCGAACACCTTCTCAACCTGCTGCCTCGAAACGTTGATGCGGACCTCCATGGCTGGCAGCCCTGGGGGCACAGGGGCCATCACTGAGCCTCCCTGGCCAAATGGATGATGCCCTGTGCCACCCACAGCAGAAGAATGGACTTCAAAGAAAACCCTCAGCTTGAGGGCACTCCAGTTATCCCACAGGGGTGCTGATTTATAGGCCCTAGAGGCCAGGAGTAGAATTTCTTTAATTTCCATTCATTCTGTTACAAGGCCTATCTCCCTGGAGTCACTGACAGAAATATTCCTAAAGGGGCTTTGGTGGGGCCGTGGGCAACAGGTTCTCACTGCTAAGGACCCCAGGCAGATAGAGTAGGGCAGACATGCTGAGCTCTGGGGACTTTGTGGGCATGAGAGAATGAGGAAGGGGCTGCCTATCTCCCTGGAGGGCTGGTGGGTAAATCCTGACAAGTGATAATATGATGACATCCTTTAACAACACAATTACTGCCCTGCTGTGTAGTCTGATAATAGATCCCTGGGATTTAGAGAGGGTTTCCTAACTGTGTGTCTGTGAGGGGATACTGGTCTCACTCAATCCACTCTCTTCTGTCATATGGTTCCCACCTGGATAGAAAGCCAGGTAAGAGAGCACAAACTTGCCATAGACACCCAGGACTTCCTGAATCCGAAGTGTGTCTAGGGTTCTGTGATCACCCTGGGGTGGGCTGGGGGTGTCCATCCCCAGGGAGAAACACTGGAAGAAGATGAGGGGCAGCCGACAGAGGGGAAGCTGGCCAGTGATCAGGAATCCAGGGTCTGCTCTGCCCAAGTAGAGTGGGCTGGGGGAACTCCCTTCCAGCTGGGACTCAGCTCTCCACCTTCTGCCACACCCAGACCCAGATAGTGGAGTGTGCTGGGAGAGCCTGGGTCCCTCTGACAAACCGGAAGGAGGGATGACAACCCCCCTTCCCTCCTCTGGGCTACAGCCAAAACCAGTGTCCCCAGGAGTGAGAAAAGACTGTTTGCTTCCAATTTCTCCTCCTCCTGACCCCAATTTCCCTCGGGTCATTGGCTTATCAGAAAGTGGGAGAGAGGCTGGGCAGCCAATGTGTTTCCATTGTTAACAGAGAAATTCAATTAGAGCTGCATTGCAGGAGGAGCACAGCGCAGCTGAGCTGGGCAGGCCGGGAGACTGTTTTCTCTCTTAATTTCTCTAACGTGTCTTTTCCTGACCCCTTCCCAGATCTCTCCTCATGGAGTCTGTCCAGCTTGTGCACTGGGCCCACTTGCTCCCGTCGCCCTGGCCAGTAGTGGGGGGGTCAACCTTGGCTGAGAGTGCTACTGCTGGGCTACTTCCTCCTTTCTGGGAACCAGTCCCTGCTCTGCCTGGCTCTGCTCTCTACGGCACCTGGTGTGCATGTCTGAGTGTGGGGTGGGGCTGAGAACCACGGGGCACCCACAGGGTCCATGAATAGGAGAGGGTCCTAGGTACCAGCTACCTGTCAAGCACATGGAGACCAGGCACCTGAGAAGGAACTGAGGGTGGAGACAGGTCTCCTCATTCCTCTTCTCTGCCTCTGGGGTTAGGGGAGGGAGACCTCCAGGACATCCTGAACCAGGTACTTTTTCTTCCCTGCGTGGAGAGGTCTATCATGGCCCCTCTATCCCTGTGGTGAAGGTGCGGCTTGGGGGATCCCCTTGGCAACCTCATGCACACCCCAGGCATCTCAGCCTGGGGACAATAGCACTCCCCCTCTTCTGTCCTGTCACCTCCTCTTCTTCCCACTGCATAAATAAGCCCTTGAGCCCCACAAGCTCTGAGAGGGTTGGGGGCTGAGCTTGGAACCCAACCCTGCCCTGCCTTGTCCTTATGGCAAGGGCTGTGCTCTTCTCCCTTGCAGGTAACTAAGCAGCCTGGTCCCTGGGAGCAGTTTCTGGGTACAGCTGTGTCTGTCCCCATCTGGTAAATGTGAAGTGCTAGCCTTGGGGAGGAATGGAAAGGGAAGAGGTGGAATCCTAGGCTGGCTGGCCTGGGACGTGTGTCCATGTGTGAACAATGAGGGCACATGTGGGGAGCCTGCATGGGGGCCGGCTGAGTGTTTCTGGGAGATGGAGGGTTGGCCTAGGGGCTCTGAGACCAAGCTCAGAAGCTCACCTTCTCAATCTGCTTCCAGTAACCAATCAGTTTAACACACAACAAATTATTCTCCCAATGCTTGGCTTTTTGCAAATTTCAGGCTTTTATAGTGACAGCAAAGTTGGGTTCTAGCATTTTCAGGCTTTGGTCCCTTCCCTTGGGGAATGAAGGCAGAGGATGGGCACTTGCTGCCGGGGGGTGCCCATCCCGCTACTCCAGCCCCACACGTGAAGAGGTGGGGCTGCAGATCTGGGTGAACCTCAGCTGCCTGACCACAGACCGTTACCTGTTGGGCTATGCCCCTGCCAGGTACCACTGCCATGGTGTCTGTTTGTGGGTAAGTAAGGAAAGCCTTTCTCCTCGCCTCCAAACACTCAATGTCTTTGGGTTGAGAAATCAATGGGATCAATGAACATTCAGATGCACTGGCCACAGGAGGCCTGAGGATGGGAGTTCAGGGCAGGAGAGGGTCTTAGTGGTTATGAGTGGAACAAGTCCCCATGAGCTCTGCTTCTCTGCTTGGCTTGAATGGAGCAAGGTTATAGAAGCCTGTTGGGAGTGTGGGCTGGGGACCATTTGTATGCTGGACCAGGTCAGTGACTGCTCATTCAAGCAAGAGCTTGGCTCTGAGCCAAGCCACACACCAGAGACCTCGAGATGGCAGTGGGGTGTGTGGGGGGGTCAGTCGGGGGAGGGACCGGAACCTTCCATGGGGTTCAGGACAGGTCTTCAAAGCTGCAGCAAAGCAGGTCTCTGGCTGCAGCTCCCTCCTCACCCGTCTTTTCCCTGGTCGATCTGCCCCAGCAGTGGGAGGACTCAGCATGCTGCAAAGTGGTGTTGGGCTCCAGGCATGGAGTGGGAAGAAAGGAAAAGCCTCACGGAGAGGTCCAACTGGCCTATGAGATCTCAGGGCTTCCCTCCACCAACCTGCAAGGGTTCTCCTCATCTCCATTTTACAGATGAAGAGACTGAGCCCAGGGATGGTGAGGGGGGATCTTACTTGAGGTTCACAGTGGACCCTCCCACTGGGCCAATGTGGCCCCTAAAGCTGTTCTTCAGGATGGAGAAGCCTATGGTGCCTCTGCTGAGGGTGTATATAGAAGGCTGTGGTCCTGGGAGGCACTGCAGGTACCCAGAACTTTACTGGACAACTAATGTTCCAGCTCCCTCCTCAAGGTGGGAGGCATTGTGGGATCACCTGCCCTGAGGGCCACAGAGGCCAAATTCCTAGTACCTAACCCAATGTCTAGCATAGAGCAGGTGTGGAATGAACACTGGAGGTCTGCAGGGAAGAGGTAGCAACCAGCAGGCATGTATTAGGCCGGGACGGTGCAGAGGTGGCAGGGAAAGCCAAGTCTGCTGGTCACTTGGGACTCCTGTTGGTTGGCTGAGCTGACACTTGGGGGTAGGAGGCCAACCCCCTCAAACCCTGGTGGAGGAAGGTGGGGGTGACTTCTGCACACCAAGAGACCTGGTTAGAACCCTTTTGGGTTCTTGGACAGATCATAGCCATAGCCAAGGGCTCATCCAATCTGTAAAATACAAGGCTAGTTCTGAGCACTAAATGACACATTATCTAAGCTCAGGGCTCTTCAGCTCACACTCAGATTACTGCAAGAGCTTTGAAACAATTCTCCCAGCCATAGCCTCAGTCTACTACAGTCCCATCTGCCATGCATGATCTTCCCATGGAGCTACTATGACACAGCCCTCTCTGGCCATCTGCCTGCCCCCAGGGTCACTTTCCCACCCCAAATGTGAGCCACCCCAAGGGCCTAGTGTCCCTTGGCCTGGGAATTACTCTTTTAGGTGGTTTCATACCTGAGCTTGTACATTACCTCTCCTAGAGGAACCCTTCCTGAGCGCCCCCCCCCACCTGCCTGGCAGCACGGGGCTCAACTCTGGGCCTGGGGTCCCCGGCTTGGACTTGGCATTGCTGAGTCTTAAGTGCTGCCTGGTTGTCTCCAGCTGCATGATGGCTCTGGCCTCACATTAGCTTGGATGTTTGGCCTGGGGATGAACACTGGGTGTCTCAGGGCTGGCTGAGGCCTTGGCGGGAAGGGGCTTGGGACTAAACCCAAGGGCTCTTTATGTGTGGGGTGTTTTGCAAAGTGACATGGAAAAGACAAGTCTTTGTCAGCTTTTGCCTGTCTGCTGGTCCTGCTCTTGGGGAGCAATGGAAACCAAATATGGGCTCTCTGTCCAATCCTTCTGGCCTACTGGCTGCCTGAGGCCAGGGCTGGGAGAGGAGGAATGCAGGGTCCTGTGGATAAGGCTCAGGTGCCTGCTGGCCCAGACAACCCTGTGCCTCTCACTTGAGTCCTGAGGCTTCCCTCTCCTAGTGTCTCTGGCTCTGTTCCTCTAGTCAGCAACCCCTGAGTGTTACCCACAGATGTGGCCACAGAGCTCTACAGTCTGAAACCCCAAGGACAGTGACACCACTTCAGTCCCTTTGCACATCCTGAACCTCCCTGATGACCCTGACCAGTATGCTGGTCACCTACCTTTGTTTGCTTGTGCTGTGCCCCCTGTCAGGAATGCTTCTGCCCTCTTCCTTCCCTGGCCAGTCCTTATTCCTTCCTCAGTTTACCTCCCCTGAAGGTCCTCCCTTTGTGCCTTGGGCAGCCTGCTCTCCTTTCCCTGAGAAGTCACCTCCGTATCTGCCTCTCTGAGGGTGTGCTCCCATTAGGAGGAAGTGCTCAGAGAATGTGTGAATGCATGCATGAATGAGTGAACAAACACTTGCAGAAATCAATCACAGAATGTGAAGTCTGCAAGTTCTCTGATCATCTGGGACTCACTCTCTCCGACTCCCTTTTCTTTGCTCGAAATTCTCACCAGGCTGCCCCTGCCCCTGCCCCTGCCCCTGCCCAGCCCAGCCTGGGCTCAGAGAGACTCCTTTGCCACCTCTTGCTGTGCAATGCTAGGGCATTTTTGGGGGGACCATCCTCTTACTCTCCTATCAAGCTAGTGGAGTAGGGTCTCCCCGGGAAGGTCTCTGTGTATATACACAGGGTCCCAGGCCTGGGAATCCTAATTGGTGACATGGGAGGGAGTGGGCACAGACCCAGCACATTCCTGGCCTTGCTGCTCACAGATGTGCAGTCTGAGGCCCTGGCAGGCCCCTTTGGGCTGGCTGAGCCTCACTTCCCCTCTGCTGCCCTACCAGCCACCTGAGCCAGCCTCACCGCTGCTCCCATCTGTGCTGCGCTCGATCACGTGGTCCACCTGGCGCACCCACTCGCCATTGCACTTGAAGAAGATCTGTGTGGCAGGCACAGCCTTGCACACCAGCAGGACTGGCTTGTTCTTGACGATGTACACATCCTCAGGTTCCACCAGGAAGTGGGGAAGTAGGTCTGGGTTGGCACCAGGCACTGGGTTGGCCACTGTGGCACTCTGCTGGGCACCTATAGCAGGAACAAAGGGGAAAGTAAGCTGGGCCCTTCTTGGAGCTGCCTGAGGTAGCAAAGGCTCCAGCTTGGAAGGGGAGGAGGAGAATGAGTGAAGGCTCAGCCACTTCCCAGCTGGGCAAACTCAAGCCACTGGCCACTCTCTCAGCCTCAGTGTCCTCCTCCGCACATCAGGGAAGCAGCAGCCCACACACTTCTGCACACTGGTGGGACACAGTGAAACTAGGGCATAAGTCACAGCACTTAGAAGGTCCTGGACACAAGGCAGCAGTGAAGGTTCATTATTTCCCTAGTAGACCTGTAGGGATTTGGCGAAGCAGGCCAGAGGCCTGAGAGGTTTAGGGGAAAACTGGAGGTAGGTGCCGGGGACTCTGGAAGGACAGGGGGTAGCTTGGGGTGGTGTCTCTCTATCTGGCTCCCTGGCCTGTGGCTGCTTCTGAGCACCCCCTTCTGGTTGGTCCTTGGAAATAGCAGATGCTCAGAAAACGCAGTGACTGAAGGAAGGGTTGGTGGGCAGCGGTATCTCATATGGATACTGGATACCGAGGGACCAGAAGGGCTGGGTGTGGGGAAGGGGCTGGCAAGGCAGGGGTACTGGGAGCAGGGAGTAGAGAGCAGGGTGGGAGTGTGTCTGGGAGTCCCAGGGACCTGGGCCACTTCCCACCTCTTCAAGGAGATCTGAATATGGGTTTCCTTCTCATTTTAACCATCCCACAAGTCATTTGTTTCTAATTACACAGGTAATTGGCTCTGAGGCATTGGTGAAGGTAAAGCCTCCAGAGCAGTCTGGCTCATCTGCCGACCAGCAGGACCCCTGAGAGGGGTGCGAGCACCCTCAGCCCTGCCTCCTCAGGCAGGCCCCCCACCAGCCTGCCTTCCTCCCAGGGCTGCAGAGGTTCCCCCCACAGCCACAATTAATAGAGGCCTCTGAGTGTAAAGACAGGGAAACAGGTTTCCAAAACCCAGTCTGTTGCTTGCTAGTGGCAACCTTAGGGAGTGGGTTGGTGACCTTGGGAAATCACTGGCTTCGCAATCTGTGAAATGGAGACCACCTTGGGCCTGTGGGGGTGTCTGAGGCACCTCACACAGACGGCTTGTTGGTACTCCACTCTCCCACGGGAGTCTAAAATCCACTGAGGTTTTAAACGGGGAGGCCTAGCTCCTTGTCCCCAGAACTGCCCAAAGCGAGCACCCAATCCCAGGCTCCTCTCCCTCCAGGGCAGGAGTCTGCCACTCCTTCTCGAGACCATGACTCTGATGGGGTGCATGTGTGTCCTGGGGACATCCGTACAGGGTGTGCAAAGGTGCCGGGATGCTGCCAAGAGGCTAAGGGGCCTGGTTTGATTTCAGCAAGTCCACCCCTCCCAAAGCTTGTTTCTTTGCCTGCACAATGGGAAGACAGGTGGTGTCCCGCTGTCAGGGTTTGAGGGTGAAATGAAAAGGCACGTGAGGCACTCAGCGCAGCTTATGTCAAGACCCAGGAGTTTTGTATTTATGAGTGCAAGGGGTTTCAGCTTAGCTCACAGCCAGCTCTTCGGGGGTAGGAGCTGATAAGGAAACTGAGGCATAGAACTGGCAGGCACCTTGCCTTAGGATGGCAGGGGGAAGTTTATGAAGCCGAGGAGGGACACAGCAGTGCCCTTGCTGGGTCCGAGGCACAGTGCGTGTGGCAGACTTTCTCTGACACAGCAGGGTGGGGCTGCCCCTTCTCCAGCTCCTTGCCTGCACCCCCCTTCCCCCCCGTGTCCAAACTCTGGCCTCTCCTGGCTGTGCCCTTCTCCCTCTGGTGGCCTCCCTCAGCAGCTATCCCCTTACCCATGTGCAGCTGGTAAACGTGAAGGTCACCATTCCCAGACCTTGACTTGAGCCGCCCTTTGCTTGGTATGGTTAAGGCTCAGGAAGTGGGGGATGCAGCACAAGCAAAGAGTCATCTAGACATTTTAGAGATCCAGAATCTGAGTCTCTTATCTCAAAGTCCAACTCTGACCCTGGACTCACAAAGTCCCCACTGGGCACTGCCTCATGACCTTTTTTGTGTATGTGTGGGACGGAACTCAGGGCCTCCTACACGCTGAGCACTTACTCTATCACTGCGCTACACCCCATCCCTTCATTTGCTTTTTGTTCCTCAGCAGCTACTATCCAGCCTGGCCCAGGCGGTGGGCCCAGGGAGAGCAGGGCTAAGTCTGGCTCTTGACTGTGTGCGTGGACCGTGTCTCACGCCCATCAGGCCCTAAGGTCTGCAGAATGAATGGCAGGGGGTGGGCACTGTGAGGCTTTGGAGGATGGCTCTGGAGTGAGAGTGGAGAGTGGGGGCTGGTAGTCCAGTGACCTCTTAGGCATAGACCTGGACAAGCCACAGCGTCTTGGTGGATGCTGTTAGTGAGGCCTTCATCCCCAGAAGCAGGGTAGGAGGGGTGGGGGCAGGGTGTCACCTGGCCTCCCACAGCCAGCAGAGGTGAGGGCTGCAGAGAAGACTGGCCAACACTGCTGGACCCCAGAGCAGGGGTGTTGGGGTAGGGAATAAGCATCATAGAAAGCTCCCTGGGCAGATCTGTACCTGCTTCCACCAAACTCCATCACAGACAGAGGCTCTCGGTGATGGCTGAGCCTGTCTCTTGCCTGGTGGGTGGGCAGGGACCCTGGCTGGGGGTGAGAGGCAGAGAGTAGTGCACGATTCTCCAGATTCTTCAGTCTCCCAATCGATCACTGTACCGAGCACTGCTCACGTCAGCCACCTGCTGAACCCGGCACAATCCCTCATGTCTGCATTTAACTGCTAATGAAAAATAAATGTACTGTGACCAATAAGGGACATAGCTCACTTCTCCAGGGCCTCCGTCACGCCACGCTGGTGTGCCTACCCCCACGGGGGGACATTTATTGGGTGGCCCCAGGAGGTACCCTCTAGGCTGCTGCTATGCCCTCCAATAAGGACACTAAGGCCTTGAGTGGTGGTAGATTCAGGTCCTACTGGGTGTCTTTTAGAGATTACGGGGTGCTGCCTGGGCAGTCAGTGCTAGCTTCCCCTCCCTCTATCTCCCTTCGCTCACTATGTGACCTCTATCCTGTGCTCACCACCTGTGGTCTTCCCCTCTCCACGTCCCACTTATTCTAATGCAACAAAAATCCAGACTTTCCAGTGTGGACAAGGGTGATGAGGAATGGAGGAGGGAAGATGTTTCAGAAAGGGTATGGGTGAGAGGGCTCTGGAGGGGAGAAGGCTCAGGAAGGAACATCTGGGCAGTGCCTGGATGCCAAGGCCTGGTGAAAGAGTGTTTTAGGAAATGGGAAGAGTGAAGGCCCCAAGGCAGGAAGCAGCTGGGTTCTCTGGGAACAGCCAGGCCAGCAGCATGGCCAGAGCAGAGGGAGCATGGTGGAGCCTCAGACTTCAGGGAAGAAGGCAGGACAAGACCTCAGGGACCTTTAGGGTGGAGTAGGAGTTGAGACCTCATTGCAAGGGCCCCAGGAGCCCAGTGAGAGCGCCCTGTGTGAGGAAGGGGTTGCAGCAGTGGGTAGACAGATGGGGAAGCTGCTGTAGGCGTTGCCAGAGTGGACAGTGATAGACCTGTCCCACTTGGGAAGCATCAGCAAAGGTGTTGTCTCCTCTGGGAGGTCTTCCTGGATCCTCACTCCTTGTCACTCACCCAGGTAACTGTCCTACCTCCTGAGCCTCCTTCCAGGCCACATTCAGTGCTGATGCTGCCTCTCTCATCGAGACTGTGAACTCAACATGGGACAGGAGCCTGAGTGGTGAGGGAGTGTTTGTTGAGTGACTGAATGATCCCTGATTCTTCTCCTTGCACTAGAAGATCTATCCAAGGGTGGTCTGTGGGAAGACCCAGAGAGGGCAAAGTGAGCACAGGCAGTCCAGGGCAGGGAGAAGGCCCCTCACTCCAGGCTGCCCCCAGCCACACCCACACCTGCTGCTCTTTGAAGCTGATCCTCCCACCCCCTTTCCTCACCTGCAACCTGGGAAGATAAGAGCTGCCTGTGTATCTCCGAGGCACAGGGTAGGTGTGAATGCACTTTCAAATGTTTTATTTTTAAAAGCACCACAAAAATATGAGGTGTGATTAATCAAGCTATTAATGAACTCGTGAGTGAGGCCTCCGTCCCCAGGAGCAGGGTAGGAGGGGTGGGGGCAGGGTGTCACCTGGCCTCCCACAGCCAGCAGAGGTGAGGGCTTCTTCCCCGGAGCAGCCCGCACCATTGCCAGCCCCCACCTGCCACCTGCTCTTTCATAGTCCCAGCAGCCCCCGCAAGGCTGGGTCCCACACCAGAGACACCGCAAGGGGCCGATGCACTTCCCTGAAAAATATTCTGACTTGAAATGAGCAGAGGAGGGGCTGGGGCACAGCAGTCTCTGTCATTCTCTAGCCTGACCTGTTCCTGGCTGCCAGCCAAGTGCGGTGCCCCTCACCCTTGGGTGCTGTGCCCCCAGCCTGTCTCTCCATGAAAGTTTACACTTGGTGGTCTGCTTGGGACCTGGGTGTCCAGTTCGACGGGTGACACAAGTGCCCAAGCTGTACAGGACAGTGCCACGAGACAATGCATTGTGTCCTTCAACTGGCCTCACCTCTAGGACTCCCTGTGTGTCACATCAGGTGATATCTTGGCTATCTGACCCTCCTCAGGGGTTTTTGTGTACTCTGTCCTGGGGTCTGCCTCCCTCGGGCATCACAGCTGACAGTGCCCGACTTCCCCCCAAGAGGGCCACCCCTGATCCCATCCCTGGCCCCTGGTGGGCACACTCCTTTCCCATGGGAACCCCCAAGGCCTCGTTCCCAGACAGATATTCAGGTCCCCTGTCAGAAGAGATGGGACTCCAGGATCTTGGCTGGGCAGAGAGAAAGAATCTTTCTGCTGGGCTTGAAGCTATGGGTAGGCTGGAGCGCTGGGGCCACCAATAGGAGAGGTCTGTACTGCACCTTGTGAGCCAGGGTGGGGTCAGGTGCAAGAGGAGGTCATTCATGGTCTGCAGCAGGAGCTTGGAG